AATGAGTTACAAATAACTACATAGGCAAAATTATAGTCTCTGATGCTTTTTCTAGAAACAAAGTTAATTCAAATTAAAAATTTATGCTAATTTATGTTTGGGGAATTTGAAGGCAGTTCAAAGTCGATGGCAAATTATCCCACTACATGATCAGTATCATTGATTATGTAATAGGCTTATTAGGAAATGTGTTCAAGATTTCCTAATAATCATGCAGATTGAAAATTTTACTGAAAGCTGTAGTTAAATTACACTGAGAGGAATAGTATATTTTTAACTGAATCATACAATGGAAGTACTCATTTACATAGTTAGATTATCAAATACTTTGCCTCAGTTAAAAAGTTTGAATCATGCTAAGATTGCACATCTTTATACATGTGGCCCTAGGCCAGTTTGTCTTCAATGAACAGTAAAATATTTTTAAAATAGGTGAAGTTAGATATTTATGGTTTTAAATGATAATGTACTGGATATTTTCTAAATACAAACAAAATTAAAAGAAAGGGTTTTGGATGTTTTCTTCATAAAAATTGATAAATATTTAAGGAGGTAGATATGTTTAACCTAATAGGGCACTTCAAAATGCACACATGTATCAAAACGGCCCTGGTACCTCATGAATATATCCAAATTTCATGTGTCAGTATAAAATTTTTAAAAATTATAAAATTGGCCGGCGCCGCGGCTCACTAGGCTAATCCTCCGCCTTGCGGCACCGGCACACCGGGTTCTAGTCCCGGTCGGGGCGTCGGATTCTGTCCCAGTTGCCCCTCTTCCAGGCCAGCTCTCTGCTGTGGCCAGGAAGTGCAGTGGAGGATGGCCCAAGTGCTTGGGCCCTGCAACCCATGGTAGACCAGGAGAAGCACCTGGCTCCTGCCATCGGATCAGCGTGGTGCGCCTGCCGCAGCGCGCTGGCCGCAGCGGCCATTGGAGGGTGAACCAATGGCAAAGGAAGACCTTTCTCTCTGTCTCTCTCTCTCACTGTCCACTCTGCCTGTCAAAAAAATAAATAAAAAATTACAAAAAATAAAAAAAATTATAAAATTAATAAACCAAAACATTCTGTACAACTTTTGATGAAGAGCATTGTATTTTCATTTAAAAAAAACTCCCCATTTTATTGATACCCTGACCACCTGCAAATCCTTTAATATTGGATTAGTGAAAGAATCTTTGGATCAGACTCAAATATATTCATATTTTTAATCCTAGCTCTGTTAATTATACTTGTGATAACTTCAACAATTTTATTAAATTCATCATAGATTTCTTAATTGAAATATTATGACCATAGTTTATAACTAATATACACAAAGAACATGTTGTATCCTCAGGACTTAGCATTCACCGAATGCATCTGTAAAAATATAAGCATGTGGGATTCCAAGACTTTGGTCAGTGTAGATCCACCTCCCCACCTCATCTTAGCATCAGTAATGTTCTTGAACTGGCTAATACTCATAGAGTCCTAATTAAGAGTCAGTGCATCCTTGGAGGCCTGGAGATACAGAATCAGAATTTCTCATTATAAAGCTATAAATCCTTTTAGAGAGATAGCAAGTTTCTTGGTGGCAGAGAGTGAGTCTCTATATGACCAGTATTTAGTTTAGTATAATACTCATTGTAGACAATAAATCCATGAATTGTTGAAGCACACAATCATCAACATTATGACTCTTCTGAATCATCTAATCTAACTACATAATATCAGAATGATTTTTCTGATTAATTTAGGATAGTTTGTTTCCTTTTCTGAACCTTACTTTCATATTATTTGTTCATCTTTCTTCAAAATCATGAGAAAGGTTCCTAACTACTTTGTTGACTGGTAATATGAAAAGGGTTGCAGGGCACACCATTACATAGTGTAGTGGCTCCATGCATCAACGATTTGTGCAGAGTACAATGAATAAAAACCCCTGTGCATAGATTTCCGTCCCCAGAAAATGATAGGCAGCCTTTTACAAAGGTTGTAAGTTAGGAGTGAACTGCTTGAGGATCCATTTTCTTAGTAGCTACTTCCTTGCTTAACAGCTGATTTTTTTCAAATAGAACCTGTGAAATGTCTTTATAGATGATCCTTAGCAAAAATGGCAATGTGCTTTTATGTCCCATGCAACAAACCCAGTTTGTTTAGTACCATTCAGCACTGCAAGCCCATATTGAATGTGAATTTGTTTGGTCTCTTCCCTCAGACTAATTTTATTCTTGTGAAACATCTGCTAAGCTTTTAATCTCCTGGACTAACAGGTCCATTACTCATTTGTTTATGGACCAAATGATTCACATCAGTGTAAATAACTCCTATAATATTGTTCTCTCCATTGAGTGACTATTCAATGAAGCAATGATGAGTAGGCTGTATAACTTTCACTAATCTTGTTTATTGTTTATGGACCATGCCAAAAGTTTAGTTTATTAAGATTTCTGGCTAGAAAACAGAACTTGCAGCCTTTTTGTGCAAGATAAGCTTACATTCTTAAGAACCTTGGTAGAAATATTTAAATATAAACCCCAAAGTTACAGAATTTCTGCATTCCACTAGCAGTTCCTGAAGTCATAATAGTTCTAATCTGCTTTTGTAAATTCTGGGTCAACCATACCATTTGGCCATTATCCTATTGAAACAAAACCTCTCAGTTTACAGAAAAATTCCCTAATGAAAAAGAATTAGGTTTAAACAAGATCTATATTCTCCATAATATTCAATGTCCATTTTCCCAAAAAATATTTAGATGTTTTATTATATCCTTCCATCCCTTCATAAAAGTATTTTTTTCTTTTGAAGACCAAATTGATTTGAATTTTTACTTTAAAAATCAGGTTGATCAAAGGGGCAATGGAGAAAAACATAAAATAGTGTGTATTGTGATATTTCTAATAGAAAAACTTACAAACTGGGTCCCCTGGGTAATAATACAGTATAGATTAAGCTCTCATTGTTAATAAAGTATGAGATGAATAATGTTCCAAGCAAGCCTTTTTTACAGATATATAAATTCACAGAACAATCCTGATATTTACATCATATTTTCATATTTTTTGTGATTTTTTTAACAAAAGAAGAATACTACTTAAAAAGGCATTTTATTCATTGCAGTGTGCATGCTATTTGTTTTTCCACTGATCAAACTGAAAATCTGTCAAACCAACAAGCAAAAAAGTGTAGAGAGCACTAATGATATGTGTTTAAGATTGAAAGGGTCATCAACATGGTTTAAATATATTTTTGCTGTCAGAGTAAATTGTATAACCTCATTTAGTTTTTAAAAATTAAGCATGCCATCTGGGATGCAAGTAATGCCAGTAGTTTGTCTGAGAAAAACAGGGCTCAGAGAAAGAAGAAATTATTTGGCTTCATAAAATAGCATTTTTTCCAGTAAATGAACAAAGTAATACAAATGTTTGTTGAGTGACTACTCTGTGGTAGGCACAATTGGGATTAGGAATTAACAATACATGAATAAAATCACAGTCACCATTCTTACAAAATTTACACTCCAGATAGAGCTTGGAAAAATGGATGCAAGATCCAGGAGTTTGCAGAGAAGGACATCTAAGATGTGAATATAATGCCATTTCTTTATGTTGCATTAATGTGAATAACAAACAACCATCAGGATTTGAAGTCATTGAAAGGAACTGGATTTTAGTGTTTCTGAACCCCTATCACCTATTCCAGGACTGGAGCAGAGCCATTTATTGTACAGTCAAATGAATATCTGGCTGAATGAGAGAGAGCACTACTCCTGATACAAAAGGATAATTAATAGAGGATAGCTAAATAATAAGCATTTGATAATAACCTTTTAAGTAAATAACTTGTATAATACAGAACTAGATTAAAATCATTAACTCATGCCATGTGCATCTTTAAGTTCAGAAAAATCTTTTGAACAATGAGTAAGAAAGGCTGGCTGGAAAATGTTTGTGTTGAAAACCTTCGTGAGGCTAAGCAGGTAGAGAAATTGAAGCCTGAGAGGATTGTTTCCGAGGACAGTAGGAGTAAGGTCTGTGTTTTCATGGTTTTAATCCATCATAGTTGAGAAGAAGGCAGTTCTTTGGAGCTTTACCAGATGTTAGACTGTCTTTGTTTTGTATAGAAAGCACTCTACACCTCTGCTCCCTTTAGATGAGAAACTGATTAGATACTAAATGGCAAACCTCAGAAACCCATTGAGTAATATTAGTGGTTTCCAAGTCTTTGGTGCAAGAACAAAAACAAAATGAAGGAGAATCTTGGCCCTAAAGGAGTTTGGCGAGTTAATGAATGATGGCCTCCTTCCATCTTCTGATATTCAATTGAGCCACAGCAGATGGGCAGGGGCTCCATGGGAAACATGAATTATGCACATCAGACTGTTGTTACATTTCTCACAATCACTTTTTCATCACTTCACCTGTTGTATGTCTTGGGCTGATTAGTTATGTACCTTGTCTCATATTGGCAGTCCTGGTTCAGAGATAATCTTTAATTGGTTTTTCCTTCCCATATGTGAGTCAGTTAAAGGTGTGTATCTCTTCTTTCCCTCATCGAACAAAGTTTGTGCACTGAATTATTGTGGAGAGCATGATGATAAGGGTTCTTAATATCAGGTGAGAAGCTTGGATTGAATAATTTGTGAGAAAGGCAAATTCTATGTGGTAGGCAAAGGGAGCATCATAGGTGCTGGCATTCATCTTGCACCTGAGGAATGGAATATATTACAGACATTGTTTAAACAAAAACAACAGAGTTGGTAAAAGTTACCATGTCAGGCTTAGATCTGACATCAGATTAATTAAAAAATAATTAAAGCCTTTCAAAAAGACACATTCATTGCTTTTTATTTGACATCAACACAATTAAACTGTTCATTTTCATTTTACTCCCTAAAATTCTTCTTGTAACTTTAAGATCAGATAAGGATTTAATCATCAAGAGAAGTAGGATTGTGCTGTGAAAAGAACTTAATTTGGGGTTTAGGTCTGATTTTAGATGTTTATATATTGTGTAGGTGTTGGCAAGCCACTTCACCTTTGTAAACCTCAATTTCTGAAGAATTCCTCCATCTTTAAAGGGTTGATGAGAAGATAAAGCAAAACAATACAGGTAAATCTGTTGTGATGCTCAGAAGTAAAAAGAACAGAATCTGTTCAGTAAAATCTTACTAAATCTGAAAGGATGTAATGAGAAGGAGATTGGACTAAAAGTCAATCCTTATCTGCACCTTTTCTTTAATATTAGGGAGAGCAGATATGTCTATAAAGTACTGTTCTGACATGGAATCAGTACACATTTGCATCTCCGTCTCTCCATCACACGCTGGATTCTGGCTGTTTGGCTAAGCCAATCTCTTAAGATTCTTTTCACCCCTGGAATTCTATGAGAAATAATAACACATTAACATCTTTTAAATGTGCCTCTATGATGTAAAAGACCAGGGAAACAGAAACTATTAAAAGTGCATAAGTCAAGGAGATAAAATCCTGGGAATTTTTTTATATGGCAGTAAAATTTCTAAAAGTCCAGAGGGTATGACCTAGAAATGAGAAAAGCAAAAAGCGTCTAAGTACCCTAATAGGCAGACCAAGGGAAAGGCAAAATTATCAAATCCCAAGAGGCAGAGCCACAGTTTGAAGGGAGCTAAAAACCAGTGAGGTATTTCTGATGTTATACAGATCCAGCTTCACACAGAGAAGGAAGAGAGTCTTGGGTCCAGTCCTTCAACGTTTCATCAACATTTCCTATTGACTGAACACAGTCTGAAACTGACTTATCTGGGAGCCCACAGAGAGCAAGCCCTCCTTAGGCAGAGCACAATAAAAAGAGGATGAGGAATAAATCTGAAAGCAAACAGGTTATGGGCTTGCCTCATCAACTGATCCACTGAATATGGAAAAGTATGGCTCATTACAGCTTTCAGTTAAATGAATGACTTACCCCAAGGCCTCTTGGGTCCACCTCCACATGCTTATCTGATGCAGTTACTTACAGAAGACAATTAGATAAAGTCAACTACAATTATTATATTGTCAATTAGATGATGTCAATTGCAATCATTATATTGTGGTTCTGGAGTAACTCTATGTGCTCATATATTATTAGAATTCTTATTGCTCTATTTTTTTAAACATTTATTTACTATTCAAAAGGCAGAGTGATGAAGAGAGTGATGGAGGGAAGGGGGCGGGGAAAGAGAATCACATCTGCTGGTTTACCTCCCAGATGCCCACAGCAACCAGGCCAAAGTCAGGTGCCCAGGACTCTGGGCATCCTGCATGGGTGACGAGTACATTGAGTCATTATCTGTTACCTTCCCAGGTGCCTTTGTAGGAAGCTGGCTAACAAGCAGAGTAGCTAAGACTCAAACCAGGTACTCCTATACCAGATCCGCATCTCAAGTGATGGCTTAACCAGTTATGCCAAATGCCTGCTCCATTAATATTGCTTTAAACACCAATATGGTGATTATTTTCATTATTTATTTGTGTTTATTTTTATACTTCTATGTATTAACATACTTTTTAAACAGTTTTGAGCAACATTGGCAAGGGGGAAAAATGATATCCTGGAGTCTTAGATCTGTTAATTTTTCAATGCTTTTCATCTGTTTCCCATCTTCCCTAATCACTGTTTAAGGATATGCAGTATTATCTCAAATGCTCTGATAATTCTTGCATTAAACATGTCTAACTTCATTTAATCCAGTATTTTTAATAATAGTCAATGAAATTATTACATTTTAGGAGTATCATTTAACCTAATCTCATCCACTCTTCCATTGTTGATTCAATCAATGAAATATCAATATTAAAAAATTGCATCTATACCGAACATCTATAGACTTTATTACCTGTTATTGTTCTCTAAACAGTACAATAGAAAAACTGTTATAGTTTTGGCACTGTATGAGGTATTACAAATAATCCAGAGATGATTTGAATTATACTGAAGGTTATGTGAAAATACTGCACAATTTTATACATGGGACTTGATCATCAATGGATTTTGCTATCAACAGCATCCTGAAATTAGGAGTCAGTTAGATACCAAAGGACAGTTGTATGTATATACACAATATATATGCAATGTATATTTGTATAAAAAAATAAAAACTCATACATCACAGGGATTTGTGAAAATTAAATAAGGCACTCTGTAATGATGTATTGCATGGAAGACACTAAGATGACAACTTACTTTGAACTGTTATCTTTACCTACCAAACACAAACCTAAACAAGATTTGTTTCACTTTTTTTCAGGATTTATTTATTTATTTGAAATCCAGAGTTAAACAGAGAGAGAAAGGCAGAGAGAGAGAGAGAGAGAGAGAGAGAACCATCTGCTGGTTCACTCCTCAACTGGCCACAATGGCCAGAGCTGCGCCAAACTGAAGCCAGGATCCCGGAGCTTCTTCCCAGTCTCCCACGTGGGTGCTAGGGCCCAAGGACTTGGCCATCTTCTACTTCTTTCCCAGGCCATAGCAGAGCTGGATCAGAAGGGAGCAGCCAAGACACAAACTGGTGCCCATATGGGATGGCGGCACTGCAGGTGGTGGCTTTACCCGCTACACCACAGCACTGGCACCTGTTTCACTTCTGATAATCAAATATGAAATATTCTTTAAAGGTAAATAATTTTAGGTTGAAAGATGTTAATGTTGACATTTTTAAATTAAATAACTTTGAACAAAGTAGTCTATGAAGTGGAGTTAAATCAAATGGAACCTGATTGCTGTGCCAGTGAGAGTATACAATGGGATCACCAGCTGGTACATTTTGCTGTTCACTAATGATGCTAGTAAAGTTCAGATGCCAGCCGGCGCCGTGGCTCAATAGGCTAATCCTCCACCTGCGGCACTGGCACACAGGGTTCTAGTCCTGATCGGGTGCCAGATTCTGTCCCAGTTGCTACTCTTCCAGTCCAGCTCTCTGCTGTGGCCCGGGAGTGCAGTGGAGGATGGCCCAAGTGCTTGGGCCCTGCACCCACATGGGAGACCAGGAGAAGCACCTGGCTCCTGGCTTCGGATCAGCACACGGTGCACCGGCCGCAGCGGCCATTAGGGGTGAACCAACGGAAAAAGGAAGACCTTTCTCTCTGTCTCTCGCTCTCTCACTGTCCACTCTGCCTGTCCAAAACAAACAAACAAAAGTGCAGATGCCGTGGGAGGTGAAAATACATCTGTAGTGACTACCTAGGATTTTTGTGTATTTTCTTCTTGGGATTACTTGGGATAAAATAATTCCTATTTAGAACATGGTCTATTAAAGTGTTTCTTTTTAAAAAATATTTATTTGAAAGACATGGAGAGAAAGAGTTGCTACCTATTCGTTCACTCCCCAATGCCTGCCAAGCTATTGTAGCTGAGGCTGGACTGGGGCTGAAACTGAGAGCTTGGAACTCAATCCAGGTTCTCCAAATGGGTGGCAGAAACCCAATTACTTGAGTTATCACTGCTACTTCTCTGCATCTCAATTGACAAGAAGCTGGAGTCAGGAGCAAGAGCCAGGAATTGAACTGAGGCACTCAAATATTTGATGGAGGTATCCTAAGTAATAGGCTAAACATCAAGTCCCTAAAAGTTTCCTTTCTAAAGGGTAGGAGGCTGTAGTGCATGATTCACCATGCACTATGAATTAGAGAATATGAATTGAAGTAGCTTAGAACTTTATACAAAGAAGTCTTACATTATGGTTAATTTGGACAAGATATTATACTATACCAATTCATCCAAGTCTCCCCAAGACTTTCTTGGATTTAGCACTGAAAATATTGTTTCCACCAATACCCTTAGTCTCAGACAAACCAGAACAGAAAATTGGATGATCTACTTCAGAATGAGATATTTGGGTTATACTTTTGTAGTCTCACTAGAAGCAAAAAAGCAAAGTTTTCTCATTAGTATTTCAATACTTGACCATCTTTATTCTTAATTAAATTTAGAAGTTTAGAGTCTTGATAGCTTTATAATTGCATGCCATTCTTTGCCAAATAAAGGCTGAATCTGTTATTTCCTTCAGAACTTAGTTGTTATTGTTTTTATTTTTGCCTTAGTGTACTTGGAAAACAAATTTATAATAAAGTACTGTACTTCTGTTCATCCCCATGAGGGTAAAATCTTTCTCAAGATCTGGTGTGAAGTCATAACAAGCATTGAGGTTACCCTAAATTAAATGATTTATTATTAAAGAGAATGGTAGTGCTAATGTGAAAATAAAGTCTGCAAATGGTTGAACATTGAAAAATATGGATTTCATTCTTGCCTTTTTAATCAGCTTGCATCTCTAGCTCCTTTGAATAAAAAAGTTAGTTTGCGTGGGGACAATCAGTTCTCATTACTGTATGAAAAAAATAACTGCTTGTTATTCTTTGCTTTTATTCCCTGTATTTTCTTAAATAGTAGTTGTCTTGAATGCCATTAACTAATTGTGTGTTTATTTAGTACATGCCCTCTGATTCATTACCAAATCCATGAAGCAAAGACAAGCCCCTCTGGTTGATCAGTTGAAATGGCACATTGATGGAGTATAGAGGAATAGATGCATGTACATAGGATGGATGAGTGGAGGGATGGATGAAAGAATAAGGAATGAAATTTACAGTCAACCCTGTCCAAAATGGTTATATGATACATTATGGCTCAGTCATACTATGGACAATTTATATTTCACATTTCCAAAATGTGTTTTTTAAAGAACCTAATGATTATTTTCCTCCTTTCCCTCTGCCTGGGAACAGATATGCATAAATGCTGCCCTACCTATGCATGAGAAGACAGAAAAGAGGTCAGAGAAAATATACCTTTCGCCCAGTATTCAAATAAACTCCTCGTTACCACCTACCCCTCCTTCAAGTTGTGAATGTTACTGTTGAGAGAAATCATTTATCAGGTGATCCAAATGACATTATTAAAGATGAGGAATATTAAACTACTTGATAAAGGTTACATAGTACATTATTAACAGAGCCAACAATAATTGCCAGTTCTGTTATACCAGCTCCTGGCTACTTTAATATGATCTCTTTAAATGTGATATAACTCTTTGATGCCTCTTCACTGAGTCAGATTTTCTAAGTCAGTCTCTGGTTTACCTGACCCAGATTAACAAAACTAATGTGCCTTTAGTCTTTGCCAGTGTTTCTTGCTCAATTAAATTCATAATTGTCAGTCTCTTCTAGTCAAAAATAAGCCTGATTTTTCTTGCATGGGGAATACAAAAAGGAAATAAGTTGTAAACATGTGACATCTGAGAAAAATAATGGCACATTTAAGAAAACTTTCACAGTGACATTCTAGTAAGCCTTCCCATGAGGATCACATTGAAAAGGATTTCACATTTACTTTACTTTCAGACGTATGCAATTCATCCAAACTTCACAGAGGGTTCTGCATTTATATGGAAGACCTCTTTTTTCTATATTCTCTATAAATTGTGAATGCTGTTCCTGAGTTGAAGGTTATCCACAGTAATAGAAATGCAGTCAGGTGGAAATTGTCTACAGCAGAACTATTACTGGGTCCGTGACGTGATATCTCTACATACAATATGCTTTGAACATAAATGAGGGGAGGAAAGAATGACACTGAAATAGGATTTCCCCTCTAACTAAGGCCATTCTAACTTAAGGAGAAATTACCGTATTGGAAAGATGCCACTAGCTTCTATTCAATAATCATTTAAAAGGAACATTCCGATAGCTTCATTTCTGCACATTTTCAACAAAAAACAACCCAAAGAAACAGAACTTGCCATATTCAATTTTATGCAGCTTACTAAATGACCAATAAGAGAGAAAGTACTTTGAGCTTTTCATGCTTAGGTTACTCCAAAATGGAACAATTAACAGATTTGTGCTACAATACTGAGACTTATTTCTTTCCACATTTTGCAGAGGTACCAAATGCAAAATGCAAACACTTTTAAAATGCGTTGTATATTTTAAAAA